GAATTTATTAGCTTTTACCTCTTGTAGTCGCATTTACTACAACTACCAGAATGCTTTGCCAACCTTCTTTTGTAGTGCAATTAGTGCCAATTGTTTTATTAATCTCCAAGGGGATTAAAAATCTGAATAACAATGAAAATGCGCAAGGCTCTCTGGTAGTTGTAGTAAAGTTACGCCATAATGCAAATTGCCTGTTGGGGCTGGGACACCGCATCAGCTCGCGGAGCCAATTACTGCGGACCCTGTACTCTCACAGTCACTATCTCTACATTAAGTATTATAGCACACAACACTCCTCACATGTTGATTTTTACTGAGGGAGGAAAACCGGAGAACCCGCCAGAAAAACCCTCGTGGGAAGGGAGAGAACAACACATCAAACAAACTCACAAATGGTCCGTACCCGGGAATCGAACCTGGATCACAGCGCTGAGAGGTCAGCAGTTTAAACTCTATATAGGCCATCCGTGCCACCCTGAACTTTATTTAGGGGAGAAGAGAGCCTCTTTAACTATGGAATTGTAAGCATCGTTATATGGATATTTTATGAAAAAAAAATTGAAAGTACGCACATGAACTTTTGTACATAAACGCACAGGAATGAGAAGCCCGAGTAATCGTTAACTATCGCCAGACCACCGTCCCGTATATGGCTGTGTCGAATGTCAGCGGTCTTCAAGCTCAAACAAGGGCAGTAATGTTCCATAACCCCTGCCGATTCACATTCACGTGACCATGGGATCTTCCCGAACAGGGACGAGCCCCGGCTTCCCTTKGGAAGTTTTGGCTCTTTTGGATATGAAAGTATGTGACGTAAAGTCATGTGAAGATCGAAGGGTGATGTCACTGATTTGACATTATGCTCTAAATTACTAACGATTTCAGGATAACGACTTTCAAACCAACTTGGTAAAGTGAAGGATAGAAACGGAAGACGTTCCTCTAAGTGGCCTTGCAACGTCGTTCTAGTTTCTCCGTATCTAAAGCCATGGTCACTCAAAACAATGAGGATTGTGTCTTTGAGTCGAGTTTCAAAATTTTTGAGAAACCTGTGGAAATCGTCGTCCATGTGATACAAACCGGTAAGACTGTTATGAGGAAGTGAAGAGAAAAATCCTAACCCGAATTTAGGTGTCTTCGAATAGGCTTCAAAGAACGTTTCTAAATAGTCGAGGTGGACCAGATGTTTTGGTTTACTCATACCGCTGATGCAAAACCGGGAGGCTTCCTTGGCACCCATCCAAAAGTATCGCCCAAAATGGTCGGTTGGTGGGTCCTTGAAACCGAGCAATCGGTAGTTGAAAGAGCCAGAGATTGGCTCGTCCTCGCTAAATAACGTAGCATATCCTGAATTCTGGTAGTCTTTAAAGATCCAYGGCCAGTTATCGACAGTTTGTGCGCCTGGAAAACCACGTCTTGCTTCGGGGATCTGCTTCTCAAAATACCCTATGAATATGAGGTAGAAAAAAGATAGAAAYCACACATAAAAAASAACGACAAAAAAATGAAAAAGAACAGATGTGTACAAATAAGAAGATTTGAATGGATGGATGGACAAATTGAATGCAAGGATAAATAAAATGAGATGAAGTGGAAAAATGTGATGGAAATGAAATCTCCATTACCAGTTAACATTGCAGTCAAAGCGGGTGTCGTTCCATCTCCAACTATAGTGTATCCTTTCAATACAATAGACTTAAGGTCGTCAGTCAGGTACTTATAAGCTTTACTTAGAGCGCGTTGGAAGTGAGCATTTGACGTCGAGTCCAATCCTACAATCATAACGTTAACTGGGATTCCTGTGGTGCTTTGCGCCCGAGCAATGACATCTGGTTTGGGTACTACAGATCCATGAAACTCTGTGTTTTCTTCTCCATTTCGTGTTTTTATTCTAACGCCAATGAATTCATCTTTGATTTCGTTTTGTTTTTCATGRTCAAGTAAAGTCATGTTACTTTGGATGAAGTCAAAATCATTTCCTGGTGTACGAGTGATTGAAAAATACTCKGCTTTTATGATATTTGGATCTGAAGAAGGCAACATTGTTAATAAACAAACATGAAAAAAATAAAGATAAATATAACAACAATCAATGATACTTTGAAATAATTATCGCGATAGTCAATACTTAAAGCGTGAAAAAGTATAAACCAAATGATGCGGATGAATGGTGTAGATTAAACAAGAGAAAACAAAGGAATTAGCATGATTAAAATGATTTAAAAACAAACAATACCACAAGTATATAACCATGTTATGTACTTCTGACAATTATACAGCTCTTTCAAAAAATGGTGAATACTGAATACCTCACAGTGCATTCCAAGACAGCAATGCATTGCTGCTAATAAACCCCGCATTATAAGCCGCGGCTAAAATCGCTCCTGCAGGTTACGCGATTTTCGGGTATGAAAGCTGAACATCGAATTTGTTCTGTTTTTGTACATATACCTACATATACCTCTTTATGCAGATTCAAAAAGGTATTTGTGAGGATTGTTTTATCGATTCAGCATTATTGTCGCTCGTGTAGCCACATCGTGCGCTGGTGATTCTGAGAAAATCGCGTCGCCTGCGCAAGCGAAAAAAAATCGCTCGTGTAGCAGCGGCTTTAGTTACATTAAAAATTGGCAAATCTTAACTTAATTGCTTTGTACATTTTGTACGATTKTCTATAGCGCACCTCAAATCGTACTTGTAAACAGCCCTTCGATTGTTGCGGCGATCGAAAATCGCCGCGAAGTTGCTGATAAATTCCAAGGAACGGAAGTTCGAAACTCAGGCGATGGTCACAATCGCGCCTCRAAAATCGCAAGTGTAAACGGGCCTGTACAGCCACTCCACGAAATCTCCTTTTCAACGGCGATAAAGCGATTAACAATGCATTTCAGTCTGGTAATGCATCATATCTGTACACAAGATAATTTGTCAATACACCTTTTCAGTTGCTCTTAGGCCTCGAGAGCGTGTTAAATATTCTTTTGAATTTGTAGGAATGTGAGCAATGCACACATTGATGTGAATAGTCTCATTTGTCAAATTCAAAAGAATAATTAACTTGCTATCGAGGCCTAAGTGAAACTGAAAGGGCGTAATTGACAGGACTTCAAATGCTAAATACTAACCGTTAATAAACGTAAGGGTGCTATTTCTGTAGCTGGTTAGTCGTTTACCATCACATTTTAASTTATCCGGAACATTGATGAGTTGCATTACAGACGGATGAAAAGGATCAAACTCGGCCAAGTTGCATCTCTGGGAAATATTAGTAACAACTGTTTCGGGAAGCGGTACTGCGCAARTGAGTTCCAGCGGTACTTCCAGACCCTTTGCATACTCTTTCTTTATGAATGAAGTGATGCCTGGTTTTCTTTTCAATCCCTTTGAGAGGTCATTCTTGAAGAATATGTTACCTTTTGAAGACATGTAAGCAAACCCTTTGCATGCTGGATCTTTGTTGCACAGTTGCTTTGCTTCTTCAGCTGAAGAGTGTGGAGACAGCTGACACTCTTTTATTTCAGAGCATTCTACATCACCCATTAAAACATCAATTTCCTTGAACTAGAAGATGAATTAAGTTAAAAGATGAGTAGTATTAATTAATTAATCAAACGATCGATCATTTTAATGGTTTCAAATCATGAATGATATACCTGGAGGTACTTTTGTTGCTTGTGTTCGGGGTTTGCTGTTGTTTTTTTATCCTGTGAAAATACAAACATAGAAATATATTCAACCTCCTTTGGTTTCCCTGCACACATCCCACACATACATGGTAAACATTAAAAGGACATACCACACGAAACTATCGTAAACTTGTTCAAATATTACATATAATATCGATATAAACGATTTGGACATTTTGTCCGTTAAACATGATTACGCATTYGTCAGACAGAATTTAATCAAGAGAGAATCATGAGTGTTTTCTTGTTTTGCTATAATGTGTATTGAGCACTGTTCAACCGCGTCAGCTACAAATTCACTTGGCTAAAGTTTAAAATAAATCATAAAGAGAAATTTGAACATAATATGACATATTTARATTAAGTTCGGTGTATGAACTCGGCCTTAGTATTCTTCGAACAGAGCTACTTTTCTCATAGCTCTGTTCGCATAGTTTAGTTAACCAGGCACAGGAATATTCGAGGATATGTCTTCACTAATGATAATATATGCACTGAGTCATGACTAAATTTGCAGTTTCTATTAATTATGGTACGTTTATGTCTGCCATTGTGTGCCATTGTATACATATATAATCAGGTATCTATAATCTGAGAATTTCGTAACTTTGAGGAGCTTTATATTCTTTAATTTTCAAAATTTAACTTTCAACTTTCAATTTGAAGGTGTTTCTCGGTCTCGACAGATTATTKCGCCTAGTTGGTCTATAGAAAAAAGTCGGGGAAATATGGCAAAAACAACAAACTCAGTGAAGCCTAAATCTACCACACTGCATGACATTCCTGCTGACTGCCACAAACTTACTCAAAACGTAACCTCAAACTTACCATGTACCAGGGACATTCCAGATAAATTTTAGAAATTTTGACTGATGCAAAAGCCGAGAAATTCGAGATACAGAAAACGTAAACTTGTCGCGTAATGTTGTTGCTTGTATTGCTGTACAAGTTTAACTTGGTTTTTCATGGCTTGCTTTTTGTTGCTCGACAAGTTGCAAGTACTTAGACTAGTTGTGAAACGAGAAACATCGACTCAAAACTTGAACAACAACAAATTTCCATGAAAATTTGAGGCCACGTATTATGACCAGGAATTCAGTTCTCGATAGCTTACCTCATTCTGTTGAATAGCAATCYWTTTTTTGAAGTACAGTAGAGGATTTAGAACCAAACTTCCGCATATAAGCAGAAGCAAAGCTACTATGAAAATATTCTTCTTTTTCCACAATATAGTTTTCATTATAGACTGTGGGCGCCGGCGATCGCTAGCAAGCTGATGCTATCAAGTCGAGCAAAGCAAGCAAAACTATGCTTGTGTCGCGCCTGGTCACAGCTGCTTTCGAGCGAATCGAGATGAGGGTCAGAGACGTAATGTTTACAGGCCGACAATGAGGACTTGACGGGGTTTCAAAGTCCTCGCAATTAGCTCCGTCAAGTCCGAATAGACCCCTTGCAGTTCGTGGGAATGCAGTTCCAACTGGAGGACAAATGAATAGATTCTAGTTCCCAAGAGGGCAAAAATCTTTTGTTTTGTCCTCCACAATGAAGCTGCCTTGACGTCACATGCAAGGGGTCTATTGGAGGCCTTTGAACGACTTCAAAAACTCATTAATTATTCGGGAGGGGAAAAAAGGGTATCGATAAAAAGCTGAAACTGAAACATAGGCCGCCCAACTAATGCATTAGAGACAGAAAAGAACGAATGCGTACGCTTTTATTATGTATATGTATCGGCGCGCGCTCTTAGCAAAAATGCGGGTTACCTGTGGTGTTACGTCACTATCTCGCGCCTCGCGGCTACATACTATAGTATAGCCGCGAGGCGCGAGATAGTGACGTAACACCACAGGTAACCCGCATTTTTGCTAAGAGCGCGCGCCGATACATATACATAATAAAAGCGTACGCATTCGTTCTTTTCTGTCTCTAATGCATTAGTTGGGCGGCCTATGACTGAAACAGCTGAAAAAGCTGAAAGAGCTGAAAGAGCTGAAATTCCAGAAATTAAGATACTGATAAATCTTTTTCGTTTCAAATTACAAAACAAAACTCATAACAAAAGCGAGATTTGTCGTATCCTTTATAGTACAGCTAAAATTATGGATTGCTCAGTAGAATTTATTTCTTCCATTTGTTATTTTGTCATCAAAATGTCTTGAACGAATTTAATGCTTAGTTAAATGACGCTTTTGTTACGCAAACAGTCAGTTAAGGCTTTTTCACCTTCCACCAAGAACAACAACCTAATCAATAGTCTCCTTCACGGTTCCCTGCGCCATCTTGAAAGGTAGCCGTGCCTTGTCATCGAAGCGAGACAACCGTTGAGTGTGCAATGATAGAAACCTTCTTTCACACCTATAGACAATTATTCACAGGTATCTATCATTGCACGCTCAACGGTCGTCTCGCTTCGATGCAAAGGCACGGCTACCTTTCAAGATGGCGCAGGTATCCGTGAAGGAGGCTATTACGGCGTTTTACGTGACGAGTGCGGCTAGAGATTGTTTTGAACCGAAGAACTAACCGACGAGAGGGCATTTGCTTGGTTCGATTTGAAAGTAAAAGAAAGAAAGAACTCGACGTGTATCTGGTCAGAACATGTCAGAACGGAACAGCGTGACTAAGCTAGAGACAGGAATAGGAACCTGGTGCATGACCAGCGAGTGTAAACCGATACTCGCGTGACGGACGTCCCTGAAACACGAAATATACACCAATTTCAAAAAACGTTGTCGTCACCACGACACAGTCCACAGGCTTGAGCCTGCAAAGAATCTCGGGGTTTGCATGCGTAATTAATATATATTGTGTTTTGAATTCAATGCCGGCAAACACTACTAATTTACTATTGCGTGTGTTAAACACATCGAACAAGTCCCGCCATGAAAAATTAGTAGTGTTTTCCTTGAAATGAATATTCCACGTTTTTAAACCGTCAATGAGTTTCAAAGCTATTTTCGCTACGAGACCGAGAATAATCCAGTCTCGAATTCTTCAATGCTCTGTGTTAGTGTTAGCCTCATTTGTTCGCAAAATATTCCTAATTGTGAGAATAAAATATTAATTCTATCAATTCTATTGTCTCCCTTTTAAATTCCATGCGTTTTCTCGGGCTATCAATGAAACAAAAGAATATGTTGCTTGGTTTTGAAGCTAACACAGAGCAAATCAGAACTCGAAATCGGAGAATTTTGAATAACTGAAATTGAATATATAATATATATGGCAATCCCGAGATTCTTTGCAGGCTCAAGACTGTGGGCTGTGTACTGACGACGACAACGTTTTTTGAAATAGGTGTATAACCAGTATACAATCCGCCAACTTTGACCATGGTTTGGTTGATGACGAGAAAACAACAACAACAACAAAAACAGACAAAAAACTAGCATCCTAGCAAAAAATAACAACAATCCATTTTTAATAATAATCAACTTTAAAACTGGCCTATTGTACAATATTGACTTGCGTATATGCATCATTCAAAGATTTACTTTTCTGACATATGGTGACACAGAAACTGGAACGTGCGACAGCGTTATCTTTGTAGGAAAACTTTTTAAACTTGTAATTCGAAACAAATCTAAAATTTATTATCTTAATTTCTGGAATTTCTGGAATTTCAGCTCTTTCAGCTTTCAGCTGTTTCAGTTTCAGCTTTTTATCGATACCCGGGAAAAAAGCGAAGGAAATACGACATATAACAGAAATATATTGATTTATTGCATCTCCACCAAGGTTTCAGTTTTCATAATTTTGAATACGTAAAGCACCGTTTGTTGTTCTTCAATTCCCGAACGGCTTTCTGAAACAAAGTCTATTCAAATTGTCTTTGTCTGCTATTCATTGCATTCCTAATGAGCCTAATTCATAAGATTTATAAGCATGTTGTCTTCCAAGGAATCGCATCAGAAACTCGGTGGTGTAATGGTATAAGATAGCGCGTATAGACTGGACGGTAGGGGATCGAGTCGTGAGGAATTAATGTATCAAAGACCTTTTTTCACTAAGTTAATGTTAAATTGATTATTTCTAATACTTTAATTATCATTAGCTAGTAGTAGCTGGAGACATGGTAGAAGTAACTGGAAATAATGTAAACGTAACTGGAAATAATGTAGAAGTAACTGAAACAAGTTGGAAGTAAATGGAAATAAGGTAGAATACAAGGCAGGATTACTGGTATCCAGTTACTGCACGTCCGTCATTTTGTAAATAGCGAGGAAGAGAAAGCCCTGGTTACGGGGCTGCGATATACTTAAGTTCTACTTTCGGTAAGAACGTTAATAGGTCCACATTTCGAGTCTTTCTGAGCATCCATTCACAATGTAAACATACTGTGACGTCATTATGCCATAGCCATATGCCATAGGGCAATTTGAACCGTTAGCTGGACGTATTCAAGTAGCCGTAGCACTCCGCCAAAGCTGCATCCATCCGGGTACAGTCAATGAGCGATTTCCTTAAGCACTTTAACTGCTTTATATCTAAAAGGCTAAATATAGCCTATCAGATGGTGTCCCTCTATRAAGCAAGGTTAYGTGGCGGGAAGGTTTCGAAGCTACGGATTCCGCTGATGAACRCTTTTAAGTTATGTGAAGTCCTTGGAATGTAGATATAACATATTTGTTTTTATTTTCTTTGAAGACCTGGGTGACATGGAGAACTTTAATAGCAGCTTTTTGTCTTCGTGGAGGAAGACACACAATTATTCGATATGGAGTAGCCAAAAGCATGTCGGGATTGACGAGCTTCGTTCTGGGTAAGTGTAATACCATCCGAATTTCTTTATTTTGTTCTTTTTTTTATGTTTGTTTTTTACTCTAATTCTACTCTCTTTATCCTTGAACCTCGAGTTGATACTCGCCATAGAGCCTCGTCACAAATTGCTACAAAAAACAAACGCAAAATGTGTTGTAAAGTACTAATAGCCAGGTCACTATCTTATTGTAGGCATCCATTCCAAGGTCAAGTTGGGCTGAATGATCTTAAAATTAGACTCACTTAGTAAGTGATATAAATTAAATAAGAGAAAACTGCATAAATACATCTGAATCTATATTTTTCTCTCTTTTTTTGTGTATACTACAGTTTACTCTCTGTCAGTACGAACACCTTTGGGGCTGTAAGTGTCCGCCATATCCGCGAGTTATCGTTATTTTCAGTTTTCATGTTGCTGACCGTTATCTAAATATGGGATTTTTTCCAGTCCCAGCCTGTGTGCAGCTGGACCAAAACTGTTGTTAACATATAACAACAGTTTAGGTTCGACTTCTCACAGGCTACCCAGACCTCCCATAGTGTCTTTCCTGATTTCAGTGCATATCAAGATGTCGCAGCAAAGAGCATGCAGACAGAACAAGGACGTAAAATAGGACAAGCAGTCGCTCAGACCAGCAAGGCAGTTGGTATGGTCTTTTGGAGTTTAAAAACAACAAATTACAAGCATCCAATATTTTGTCCAAGGGGCGTGTTTAGGAGGGTCAAAGAGTGCCCATAAAAATAGAAATAGACCATCGATGCTGTCTAGAGAATCGAGTAAACTTAACTTAATGAATCACTTAAAAGCCGAATTAGACGGCGCAACCTTTGCACACAACCATCGCATACAACCTACGTAAGTCATCTTATTACAACATGTTTACAACTGTTATAGGATTTGAAACAATTGCTTTTGATAGCCCTGCAATTTTCGCGTGCAATTTTTCTACGACAACTTGTAGGATTGTGAGCCGTGATTCAAAATCCTTCTACATGAGTTGCAGGTTTCGTTTGACTGTTGTAGGCAAGTCGAAGGGGCATTTACAAGACACGATTTGGAGYTCAATAGAGTCGTATACTACAAGTCGCACACGACAATCGCATCGTGCAATGGCTGGCCGAWTTACACGGCACGATTGTCGCGTGCGATTTTTAGCATACGACTTGAATCGCGACGTGTAAATGCCCCTACGACTTGCCTACAACAGTCGTACTCAACCTGCGACTTGTAGTACGATTTTAAACCACGGCTCAAAATCCTACGCCTTGTCACAGGAAAATCGTATACTCAGTACAAGTCGCACACGACAATCGCACCGTCTAAATCCGGATGCGGATGGATGCGACGTTGCAGGTGATTGTTGTAGACAAAAGTTATACCGTCTAGTTTTCTCATCTCCATGCATGACGTGATGAATTACAAATCCTGAATACGTCCCTGATTTGTAGRATGTTCTTTGTTCGCTAACGTCACCTCTGCGTTTGTTATTTGTAGGTGGTGCATTCAATTCGGCCAGGTCTTACGTTTCTTCATGGCTTGCGGAGTTTGCTCGGGAAAARCCTCAATTGGAAGAACCATCCGTTTTCGACAATGAAGTCAATCAAAACACCAATGCATGCGACAAAAATGATCAGTCACGTGATATAGAAGACTCCGGCACGTGATATAAAGAGAAGACTAATTTATGAGCGTTTCTCTGTATTCGCCATAGGGCGATAGAGGACGTATTTAAATTATGRCGGATATGGTACGGTTTTATTTAAATTTCTTGTGTGCCACAGCAAATCACGTGACAAAACTTGAAATACAGCTTACGACATAAACCGGAAGTAACTCTTAGGGATTAAAAATGTAATCTTGAGAAAATGTCCTTTTATTACAGACAAGCAATTTTTCTGTGCACTGCAGCCACCATCAAAGTAAGGTGGGAAAAGTGATAGACCTCTGAACCTTTTACATCGCTACTTTTAAGTTTTAAAAATTTTAAGGCATTGTGGGATTAGTTTCCAGAAAACAAAGGAATTCCGCCATGTTTTGTCCCAAACATATCCTACAATGCATTGCTTATGCGGTATATGACGTAAAGGCTTCGAGATCTATTGGAARTGTTACTCCCTTTTCGTATTTCTAAAAAATGGCGCCGCTAAAGATCATTTGCTAAATCAATGCATGATGGTCCTAGTTTTTGGAGATATTTCAGTGGACACAAAAAGGAGTCCTATATATACTTTTTGTCGAGTTTGCTATGCTGTATATTGCCAAAAATCTGGAGAATGGAATACAAAAAATKTCTTGGTAATAGGTTTGCTAGGAAATATTCTAGTAATAAAATAATCATCAACATTGCCTCAGTTTCTCTCATGTAACGAGGACCACGATCCCACCCTGGGATCAGGAAAAAGTGGTCGCTTACGAGAGATGGTCGCTTACGAGAGTTTTTCTACAGAGTTTATATGGGAAACAATTATAACGGGAAATTTAAAAGGTGGTCACATACAGGGTATGGTTGCTTATGAGAGTGGTCGTTCAGAGAGAGTCAACTGTAGTTCTCTTTTTTGTTGAGGTKGAAATCACCCTTTACAATAAACAAACCCAGGGAGTACACATAACTGGCACACAGTTAATTAATGGATTCACAGTTACATGGTCAAAATACATCCAATCTATCATTTAACAACACAATACACAAGTCTTTTTGGTGGCGTAACTTTATTTTAGTTAATCATTTATCGAGCAGCACCAGCTTGTGGCCTCTGACCTTCAGGCTAAAGACAACAAAAATGGATGGAAGTTAGTTTTGTTCGTATTCAACAACATTGTTATGGCTGTATTCTAATTGGCTACATAAACCTCTGCATTTATGAACAATAACAGTCCCTTCTTCCTTTTTTACTCAATTCCCACTCTCATTGTATCACTAAATGCACATTTTGAGCTTGCAACAATATGTTTGCGAAAACTGAAACAATTTGACCTCTCAGCCTTAGATACATAGTGTAGTTCATTTGGGTTATTTTCTCGTATTCAATTCATTAATCCTCACAACACGAAATTCTTTCAAAGCTTGTGAAGGACTTCATTCTAGCCAAGAGACTAAGACTAGACAATCTTCTGAATGCCCTTTGTTCTTACCTTTCGTTGGAACCTTGGTGGTGGCGTTCTGATCTTCCTGTCCTCTCTTGACCTGTTCCTTACCACCTTTGAGTGGATAGCACAGCTCACACAGTAGTGAAGCTTAACATACAGTTTTGGGAGAGCATAAACTTTAACATAAGAAAATACCATTAGAGATGAAATGTCCCAGAGAAAACATAG